TGTACAATATAAATATATACTAAATGTAATAGACACCACTTCGAATTAATGGCCCTTTGTTTATAATGGTACATTTAAAATCAGATGGATTACAAAATGCGTCAGAAGAGGGATGTGTCTTGTAAACTGACATTAATTGACTTTTAAACAAACACGGAGGGTATATATCGGCGTCGACTGTCAAATTATATTCTTCTGTCTGCTGGTCATAAAAATAGGATATCATGTTACTCATTTAAAAATCTATTAATAGACTAAATAAATACATTTTGGAAAAATTCACCAAACGAAGAATAACTAGTAAATAGTAGTAGTAGCATGGCAACGTGCATTAAGGCAAATTGCCGGAACTTAACGAAATGTTCGAGAAATATTAATTATTTTCAAATAAATTATTATAAATACTGTATCATAGTATAATATTTATATAAACTGAATTGCAAAGTTAAAATTATTTATTTAAAGCATATAAGTGAGCTTTAGAATTTTAAGCCGAATTAAACATAAAATTGAATTATTTTCGATATACAAAAAAAATTTTTTTTGAAAAAAAAATTAATTTTTATTTTTTTCCCAAAACCAATTGTTTCATCAATACAAGCAAAAAGTTTTCTGAATCATTCAAATCGAATACTTAGTTCTCTCAAAAACTGCCATTTTTTGCACATTTAGCTCCATATCTCTGAAATGGCTGAACTTGCTTTTGCCAAAAACTAAACCAAATGTTGTTTGAATCATTCAAATCGGTTGATCCGTGCACACAAACCACACAGCTCCATTTTTTCCGTGGTTTGCCAAAAGGTTCAGAAACCTCTGAAACGCAAAGATATGCAAAAATTTTCATTTCAGATATTTGGCCCAGCATCGTGCCTTCAGGCAAATTGCTGAGACTTTCCGTACCGTAATTTAAAAATTAAAAAAAATTGAAAGATTTTATTTTTTGGGGATTTTTTGAAAATGTTAAGACTTTTGAAATTTTGTTTTTTTTTCCAAAATTTTTATAATCAATTGAAAATTTGGGCTTTTTTTAATACCTATCTAACCTTTTTAATGTTCGAACAAATTCGAATTTTTCTTCAAAACTTTGAAACCCATCCAGAAGTGACTTGATTCTTAAGGTCGAAAATATCGAAGATGTTTGTTCGAAATATATAATAATAAAAATATAAGTGAACTTTAAACATTATAAATCTTGGTACGGTACCCATACAAATGTAAACAAAATTTAAACTTATTATTATAATCTCTATGAAATATCTGATAATTAGATGTGCATAATTCTAATAATCATTTTTGGCCGCCGCTGGACCTAGATTCCCAAAAATATAATCAATTTTTCATACGTTCAAGTTAAATGTTTTTTTAATCATTCAAATCGGACGCTTAAAAACTAAATCGCCATTTTTTGCCCTTGGCCCGTATTTTCGAAATAGCTCGACCTACCCTTGACAAAAACTAATCAGCACGCCTTCCCATCAATAGTTAGCAAACATTTTTTGAATCATTCAAATCGGTTGATCAGTACTCTCGAAATCGTCAACTAAAATACATACACACATACATTTATGTTTTTCAAAGTATAGTGAAGATATGTGAAAATATTTTCATTTTTCATTTTTTTTCAATTACTATAACTTAGCCTATGGTAAGTTAATTACACTAAACGAACATTTTGCTATCTAACAAATCACTTCAATAAGCAGACTTGCCAAAAATAATTCCCGATTTCAAATCTCTACAGATTATCAATAACGAATATAATCTTTTATTTTTTGAAGAGTATTAAATTATTTATATTGAAGATCGTTGATTAGCACGATATTGTCAAGATAATGCAGATGTTATGAAAATATTTCATGATAAATAAAAACAAGCTAATAATATTTAAAAATATGATTGGATCAAACTTTAGTGACTAACTGATCTCATCTCACTAACTGAACTAAGCTTAAGCTCTACTGATGCTTCTATAATATATTGAATATGTATTCATTAAAAATAAAAATATAAGTATTATTACATATTGATTTTGGCAATTTTAATTAAGTAGATGGGCTAGAAGCTTATTGTAACAGCGAAAAGAAGTAACATGCGCTTTTCAAAAGAATATTACACGATATTAAAATATTTCTTAATCGATAAAATATTTCTTGTATCGATTGGACATCTAAATCCCCCTGACACAGTATATAAAGTGTGCAGGTGAGACATTTTTGTCAATTATTATCGACTACTAATTTTAAATTTCATATAACTTATTTCGTTTGAAATGTATCAATCTTTGATAATGTTTTTTTTTCAAAGTTTAAAAAACAGAATCTTTTTTAAAAAATTTAACTTTTGGTACGTGAAGTACCAGCAATTTGCCTTAAGGCACGATGCCATGCACCACTAGTTATTTGCTTGTAAATCTTAGTTTCAGGAGTGTTGAGATCATAATAGGCTGAAGAAATTTAGTCAAAAAACGAGACATTTCAATTTACCATTAATAGTAGCAAAGATTGTGAATGAATCATTATCATCAATTATCGAAATTTATATTACAAACAGTTTAAATTTAAATTTTTTGCAATATCAGTAATCAACTTACAATTAGTATATGTATATTAAATTGTCAATTTAATATATGTAATAACATTACAATTATAATACACAAAATTGTTGAGTTTTCTGGTAACACGATAATAACAGAAAAATTCGTATGGGCTATGGTAACTTCATTAGATAATTCAATTAAACATGTATCAAGGAAACTTAAGGGGCACAACTAGTGCAGCCGCCTAAAAAAAAGGTGATTTTTGGGAATTTATATTAAAAAAATTACTTTATCAATCATTTCAAAATTTTAAGAATATATTTACACATGTTTTAAGAATACATAGTAAAATTTTTGAAGAAAAAAATTAAATATTTTTTAAGTTATCGTAGATCTCCAACGGCGCAAAAAAGGCCCTTCACTGCTGCAGTGATTTCGGCCTTCTACGTGGATGAAATTTTAAAAAAAATCTCATTAAAGTAGATAATATTGTCTGCAAAATGACCTACGATAAAAAAAGTCTAAAATAAACAAAATGGCGGCGTTTTAAAAAAAAATTCGAATTTGATCCAAAATTTTGGTCGTTTTTGGACTGCCAAAATTCGATTTTTGATCCGATCAAAAAATCGATAGTTCATTTTACGGAGAACTATATATAAAACATGTAAAAAAAAATTTGATAGTGATCGGATAATTTGTTTTTGAGTAATCGCTGCAGCAAATTCTGAAAATGCTGTTTCGAGAAAAACGCGTTTAAAGATAAAATGATCGTTATACTATATACTAGGGAACGGTATACCGCCGGATTTTTCGAACGAATTACCGGTAAACCGCCCGATTTTTCGGCGGTATTTTTACCGGTATTTATTCCAAAAATACCGGTATTTTCGGTATTTTTACATAAGCGCTATTTGATACATAATACCCTAAAGCTTAAATTTCTCGGAACAAATTTATCTTTAAATTTCACAATCGCATAAACAGCTATATCTTCAAGTGATTCTATAAGATAAACAAATGTCAAATATTATCTCAACTCGTCATTAAACTGAATATTTATTGCTTTCCAAAGGGCTTCATATTGTGTTACAATAAATAGAATTGGACTGATAGATAATAATGTTTGTTTCATCTTTTGTAAAAATGTAACGGTTTTTTAAGTGATATTTGCACCAAAATATTTTATATCATACAGATTACCCCTGCGTAATCCTTATTTTTTTGTAACTTTATACATAATAATTATGATAATTACTAAATATTTTTGCTCCTTATTACAATTATAAAATATTATTTTTCAAAAACGTTTCGAAGTTTGAAAATACTATAGAAGCATCACATTGTTTTAAATAACAATACTCAACAATTACAGTAACTTATTATTTATCTCGATAAAGAATCCGATCTTAAATTAGTGTAGAAATTTTTTTTTAAATATTGGATATTATGCTAATTTAACACATCGGATACAGACAATACAGTTTATTATAATAATGTAATATAATCTTTTATGAGATTTTAGTCTTTCTTACTCATAAGTTTGTTTATGGTGAAAAGGCTCAATATACTCGATAGTGATAATGAATTAATTAAACTGTATATACTTTTGTTAAATTATTATTTAAAAAAATGAACTTATTGTTTTATTTTATTGTTTAGTTGAATATAGTTGTAGTTGTATATGCATTTTTTTATATTTGTACTAGTAACTTTCAATTTTGTTTACTTTTACGGTAATTTACCGGTATTCCGGTTTTAAAATGAAAAATTACCGAAATACCGGTATTGAAATTTTCCATCGGTACTGCATTCCCTACTATATACTATATATATACTCTTTAAATAGATGTAACTCAAAAACTATTTAAGATATCCATTTAAAATGTTGGTATGTTATTTTTAAAGGTATAACCTATCGAAATATGGAAAAATTGAAAATTCGATTTTTGGAAAATTTCACACTAGTTGTGCCCTTTAATGTATCAAAGAATTTTTTTTGCCTAAACTCCTGGAACAACACTATTTTTTGTGTCACACATATATGACATCTAAATTAAATAATCTTTATCTATATTAAAACATTATTTTGCTTGTACCAAAATGCGTATGTCTGACATATATGTCTGGCATAGCTCATATGGAATTTCTTAGCGTCAGGCACATATGACTGACAAGGCAATTATTAATAGTATTTTAGTCTTAATATTTTTTTATATTGTCTTAAAAATATTAAATATTATCAAATACATGTATATCTGTATTAATATTTGACGTTTACTATATAATGAAAAGAATATAATGCACTGTTCTAGGATGAGCGTTCGACAACAATATACCTAATTAATTATGTCAGAATTATATATATATATATATATATATATATATATATATAATAAATTAGCCGCAGGTTTGGTCTAAAACATAAGCTAACAAATCAAACCACTTAAACAAATATTATTCTAACCTGTGACTGCCAAAAGTAAACATATCCAGAAATCCATAGTCCTTGTCAATTCTTTGAAATATCAACTACAACTTGTACTCTTTTAAACAAATACACCGTGATTCCTTTAAATCACACACGCCGATAACAGGTTTACTTCCACTGACATTTTCACCGCGTCGTTCACCAAAACAATTAGGTTATAGAAGCAACAAATATACACTGTTTATTTCCAATAATTGTCACAACAATTAATTAATGCATGTCATTACATTCTTCATATAAAACTTGAAATAAAACACTTGGAAATATTATTTTCACATAAGTCAACCAACAGTCTACTAATTGTCTATGACAATTCGTACACTTTTGAGGGAGTTTTCACATGATAGATTAAATCAGATTATTTCGACAATCTTTTAAATTGATAATAGGTTGTGTTACATGACTAGATCAAACTGTTTTAGGTTATAGTTATGTTATTTTTATGTCAAAATTTTCATTTTTCGTTCAGGTAGCTTTTTCAATAATAAACGCAACGCGCGTACACACGAAGCGACTCGACTGAAGTGAAGTTTGCGTTTGAGCGCCGAACGAAACTGCTCGATACAGTGAGATAGAGCGGTGACATGGATAGAACAAGCCATGAAAAATGATTTTGCAAGCACTATAAATGAAATTTAAATTGTTAAGCTATGATTGAAAATGAATGCGACGTACTAGCATTGTCCTTAACATAAATCAATAGATGATATATTTACGAACAAAAATTTACTTATTTTATAGAGATAATTGAAAAATTAAAATTAGTTTCTTTCTTTTTAGATAATTCATTTCAAATAAAATAATACTTTAAATTTGCATAATTTGCTGATAAAAAATATTAGTTGCATAAAAAATCTGATGTGAAGAAAATATATATGAATTTTAACTTCTCGTGGGGTAAGTTATTGTACATCCAAATCGAAATTTGCATCCACAAATCGAAAATATTTTTTTTAATTTTCAACATTTTTTTTCTTTGAAATATCAAAAATGATTTGAATTTTAATTTTAATTCTAGCTAAAATTCTAAAGCTCACTTATTTACTTGAACTAAATAATGTTAACTTTTCAATTCATTTTATATAATTCTTCGACATATGAGATTAAGTATTTCATTCTAATTTCGCTTGATTAAGTTTGTTTATTTACTTTTTATTTAAACATATATGATCGTCGTCCGCATTATAAGATCTTATATTTTGTCTACAAAATACGAATAATGAAAGTTACAGTATTTACCATAATCTATTTGAAAACATTTAACACTCACCGAATATTTCCTAACCGTAATGAACATCCAGTACAATGCATTAAAGTAAAATGCCATGCCCACTAGTTATTTTTTAGTTTTTCTTGATCGACCCTCATATATTTTGATAATATGTTTATTATTTTGAACTATAATAACAGACAAATTAATATATTTCAGATTGTAAAACGCTAGGAAGTAATACAAAATATAACAACACAATGTATCAATTTCTATTTGTATTGGACAAAAATATTTGGTTTTTAGAACTAATGAGGCAATTCTGCCGTAACATAGACGATAAGATAGTGTTCTCATAGCAACGCTATCTTATACTTATATATTGGTGGTGACACTGTGAAATATCTATCTATTTGCCGCACGATCATGCGTATTTTACATATAAGTAACAAGAAAGAATCTTATGATAACAAAATCTTTGGTGATGCAGTTATCATAACATTCTTCTTTGCTTTGTTTATATGTAAAATACGCCAGATCGCACAGCAAATAGATAGACATTTTCATAATTTTCACTACCAATAACCTGCATAACATAGCGTTGCCATGACAACGGCAGAATTTCCCCATAAGATTTCACTATATTTTAATGAAAATTTGTCACTTTTAGGGAAATAATTTGACTCTAAATTGAAATTTATACTATAGTAATGAACACGGTGAACCATTCAAACTCAAAATTGGTTATTATTTATTAATTCTGAGGCGAATGTGTGTTTTAATTTGTTTTAAATTTAAATATATAATATTTTGACTATCAAGTCAGACTCTCATACAATTCTTTGTTCGATATAAATACATGCAGTGAGCTAAACAAGTTTAAAATTGGTGTTTTAACTCAAGAGTCCATTCAGGATAAACATCGTGATATGTATTTTATATATATTAGATAGAAAGTTTATATATAAATATTTTGCTCAAATTTTTTGATCTTCTTGAATGTCCCTAATTGATTTTATATTATAAAAAATCAAAAATGAATCGAATTTTTATTTTCAAAAAAAAAAAAAAATTCATAAATAAGAATATGCTGCATCAAGAAACAAGGCACGAATCATATGATATACACGCCTACAAACTATAGGTAATAAGGTCCTTATTGTTTTGAAATAAATATTAAATAACCTTTCTAAAAGTTTATATTTATAAAGAAAACTTATAAATAATTTGTAACATTTAAATTATTTCCCTAACATCGCTTTTAACGGAACATCTAAGCATAACATTCCACATGCGAATCAACATCTCACTGCTACCACTTACTATAGCACGAGCGACAAGGACGCCAGTATCAATGGCGAGATGTTTTCCGCGTGAGGTGCGAGTGAGACGGCGCTCTACAATCAGACTTGCGTAGATAGAGCGAAAGAGTATTGACCGCGTCTCTGTAGTAACTCGCTTTAAGAAAGAAATGAAAAAATATAAATGATATCGTTTTTTAGGGCCCGGCTACATGATACGACGTGCTTTAGGGCAGCGGAGTTCTTTATTAGAAAACCTGCGGACTAACGGGATAAGATCGCAAGTAAAAGGTTGCCGGTTAATAAATGGATAAACCTACGTGTGTACAGTAGAACCCCGTTAAGACGATCACGGTTAATACGATTTTTTGCATAACACGACACTTTACACTGGCTCATGTTTAAAAAATATCGTTTTTATTTGGCATTGTCCTTTTTCTCGCATAAAACGCGTTTTAGGTCGTAAAATCGTAAAATAATCGTTTTAACGGGATTTTACTGAACACACCGCATATATGTATATATATATATATATATATATATATATATATATATATATATATATATATATATATATATATATATATATATATACAGGGCTGGTCCTGGGGTCCTTAGCGCCTGCATGCAACTTTTTTTCTAGCGCCCCCCCCCCTATTAATATTAACTGTTTTAACAGTTTATCATTTTAATTTTATAAATATTTACATATTTTTTAAAAATTAATTTTTAATTATTCTGAATTTAGTACACAAAAAATTAGATATAATCTAAAAGTGTATAAAATATATTGATTTCAAATTTATTTAGAAAATTTATGTTGATTATTAATAATCAAATATTTTTAAAATTTTAATTATTTTTAACAATATTAATATTTGGGTTTTACTTATTTTACTTATTTATTATGCGATTTATTCTTTTGAGCAAATCTGCCATGTTGGATTTTTTAAATTTTAATTTAATTTAATTTTTCATCATTTACAATATCCAAAATTGCGTCGTAAACTTCTCCTTATTGATATCGTAAGAGCCGAATTTTATTTATCCTTGCTTTCCCGTCATATTCAGAGTATCAGTTTGTTGTTTTAAAATTAAATTTTTTACGTATTTTAAAAGTATTGTCCAAAAATCAGTAAACAATGCAAAGAAATTACACATTTCTTGAAATATATTGAAAAAAAAAACTTATTAGATTTGATATGTATTATTTCTGCATAGTTAATAATTATTAAATTTAGAGTATGGATACCGCTAGGTATAAAAAAAGTCTTAATATTTTCGTTCCAAAGTAAATTTTGCTTTCATTTTTCATATTTGTTCCATTTTCATAACCCTAACCACGCATGTTTTCAACATTCAAAATTCATCAGAAGCGAAACATTTGCAACAAAGGCAAAAGTTACAATTCAATTTCTCGGAATAAACATGCCATGTTTTAAGCACTGACTCCCCATTTTTTATTTTCCCATTATAAGTTGTTTATATTTTTTAACAAGTTCCGTTTCAACTAAATCAGCTCGCAATTTTTCGTCAATGATACTCTATAATTAATTTAATCTTTCGTAGGTTTCGCAGTAGAATCGGATTAGTATGACCCCGGATATATTGACAACCTGGAAGATTGGTTTCCATATAAAATTCCTTAAAAAACAGTCGGATATATTGACATCGCTTACATTGACATGTCGTTTATAATGACCCCTTTTTGAAAAAAATTATGTCCAGTTATAATGACCGACATCGTTTTACCTGAAATGGCCAAGTCTACGAAAGCAATTGCTATGCCTTTTGTGCACAATAGCACCAAGGGACTGTTTTTACAATGAAATTAAGTAAAGAAATCAATCAAGAATTACTGATTAAAAAACACATTTGTATGTTTATGGTTAGGGTAGACCAATTATTAATGGTCCACCACGGATATCTCATAAACAAATAAAATTAGATTTTTTTAACAATAATGTTAAGAGGGCAAAAAATGTATAAATGTATAACCAGCCATCACCGTTATTCTTATGACTTTGCTAAATCAGAAGATAAGCAGCACATGAGTGGGTTAAAAAAGACCAGCTGAACCTTTACTTTGGTAAAGGTGTAAGCAATAAATAGTAAAGTTTAAGAAAAAAACAAATTTCAAGCAATTTACAAGAGATTAATTAAATAAATTGTTATTCCGGCTCTTCTGATGAATATTTCTGATCAATAGCAGATCAATTTAATATACTGTGATATCTTTGTAACAAATGTACCCTTAAAATTAATATTTTGCATTGGTTAATAGAAGAAATTGCATCTGTTTGCCCCCTGGTTATCCCACTTTACCCCGTATATGGGGTAAAAAGGGTATGATACCAAATTTAAAAAAAAATAATATTTATATAATTAGGAATTATGTGAATTTTTTTCTGAACATAGTTTGATAGATGCTTGTTTGATGTGTGTTTTGACAAATGCATATGACCCAGAGTTTAGACATATGCATTTTGACAAATGGCATTTTTTTAAATATTGTTTATTAATGCTGGATTGTTTTTTCAAATATTTATTCAATTCTTCATTTCATCAATTCAAGTGAAATATTAAATGAATTATTTAAATCGGACGCACCGTTCTCTCAAAAACTGAATTGCTATTTTCTGCACATTTTGTCTCTTATTTTTGAAACGGCTGGGCGGGCCTTTGCCAGGAAGTTAATCAGCACGTCTTCTCATCAATACGTATCGAATGTTTTCTTAATAATCCAAATCGGTTGATCGTACTCTCGAAAT